TATATATATATATATATATATATATATATATATATATATATATATATATATATATATATATATATATATATATATATATATATATATATCATTATTAGTGATTATTTTTTGACTTTTAATCTGTTAACTACTAATCACTGTAATTCCAAAGGATGTTTAACCAGTTGCAAAATATTTGCGAGTCGGTAAGTATTAACTTCAAGTAATGAGCCGAATTTGCATAAGCATCATTAACTCTTACTTTCCAATCGATATTTTTAAACAAAGAAATATTTTTGAAGTTTTGACTATAAAGAAAATGTAAGTTAAAAAATCCTATATATATATATATGTGTATGTGTGTGTGTGTGTGTGTGTGTGTGTGTGTGTGTGTGTTTTATCAGCCATCTCTTTTTTCAACTTCTCGCTTGAGTCCTTCTTCAAGACCGGCCAGACATGGGGAGTAATGGTCTGCTATTTTCGCACATCTATGTTGACGTGGCATTTGATTTCAGAATTGCGCTTCGGTTCACTGAGCGTGCTACTAATGGTTATAAGGTCCGTCTGCCTTGCTATTTTATCAAGGGCATTAAAAAGATTCTAACATCAGCCTCATTCAGCCTACCTTCTCCGTTATCCGCACCAAAAACTTATACGTCAACCTCATATACTGTTTTCTGTCTCTCTCATTTCCTCACCCTTTCCTCTCTGTCTCTCTGTCTCTCTCTCTCTCTCTCTCTCTCTCTCTCTCTCTCTCTCTCTCTCTCTATATATATATATATATATATATATATATATATATATATATATATGAATCTATCTCCCGGCTATTTCTCAATATAGGCCAGTTGTTATTAATTTTACTGTTTAAGAAAAATACTAAGAAAAAAACAGATATCAACTCAAACACTTGTGCCCACTAAAATTAACGTTTATATGAATAATAATAATAAAAATATTAATATTAATAATAATAATAATATTAATATATATATAACTCTCTCTCTCTCTCTATCTCTCTCTCTCTCTCTATATATATATATATATATATATATATATATATAATTTTTTTATTATTGTAAATTTCAAAATTTTAATACAAAATTAAATTCATAAATTACTTTAAAATATCTATATATTCTTTAGAAATATATATATATTTTCTTTGAATATATATATATATATATATATATATATATATATATATATATATATGATATATGAACACACACACACATTTTTTCTGCCTGCTCATGTAACAGTTCGTCTTCTGTATGTTTTTGTGTGTTATTATTATTATTGAAATAAATTTGCTATGGAGTTTTGTGTAAATTTGAACGTGAGGCCTAAAAGGTTTTCGCCAGAAGAAGAATTAAATTGAAATATATATGATATTGGTCATTTCTTACTAGATTTACTTTGCTAAAAGGATCAGGGGAACTTTCCAGATGTGTGTATGTTTGTGTGTGTGTGTATATATATATATATTTGATTATAGTGGTGAAGGCCTCGTGCAGGACCATCCACACTTTTTGAAGGGACGAATACAGAGACCTGGTGCACCGAATCCCCAAGGTCCCCCAAACGACCCTCCGCATGTTTTGAATTCAGAGTTGTCCTTCTCCTAGACCAGTTGCCATCCAAGGCTATAGAACCCAGTCTGTCCTGCTATTTTACCCATAGCTGGAGGGAGGAAGAGGATTCATACCTTTCCCAAGGGTATTAGCACGTAAGTGAATGTAATGGATTCGACGAATTCGAACTCATGTGCCGGTGTCAGGCTGTCGGTTTCCTGAAACTGATCTGTTTGACCCTCATACGTCGAATCTCGACAGGAGAGTCGATTATATATATATATATATATATATATATATATATATATATATATATATATATATAAATGTTTGGGTTTGTGTGTTTATGTGTGTGTGTCTGTAAATATGAATTTTTTCTAATATTTGCGTTCCCTATTTTGCTGGGGGCCAATTTTCATGTCACTTAAAGATGACGTCATTCACAACGATCAAAGTAAATTTTTACATGAAAATAAATCAATGTAGTAATTTAGTTTGATTTTTGTAAATAACGTCACCTTTAAGATAACTGAAATTAGTTCCCGGGGGTGTGCTGGAATTAGCCAAACACATTTTCATAATCAAACTAAACATGAAATACTTGATAACGACTGCAGTGACAGTCGAAAGTACTCGACGAAAAAATTTTCACAATTCTAAATCTGGCAAATATCAGTTGAGCCGGAAGTTGTAAAAATTTAAAACTTGAGCTGACAAACCACTTGTTATATATGTATATGTGTGTGTGTGTGTGCGTCTGTGTGTGTGCGTGCACACACACATACCACACACACACACACACACACACACACACAAACACACACATATATATACACACACGCACATATATATATATATGTGTGTGTGTGTGTGTGTGTGTGCGCGTGCGTGTATATAGGCATATATATATATTGTATATATATATATATATATATATATATATATAT